TCCGCAACTTCCTCAAAATTACGTAGCACATATAACCTACACTGATCTTATTGGGTGTAAGTTGCTATTTAGGGTTTCGGGTACAGGGCTATTGCACCGATAATGGAGAATCAAATGGACAAGAAATTCGCAAATAACATGGACACCCTAGGCCCTAGGCCCATTGAAAGGGTTCTGCAGAGATAGCAGGGACTTCTTGCACTTGCATGGGGATCCGCCTCTTTAGGCATGCCTTCAATGTGGCTTTGGGCTGCATGTCGGACTGTTTCGGGTCGAGTGGGAAGCCCTAAACCCTAGATCTTGTATGCGGCGGTATATCCTATATGTAAATCGCATAGTCTTCCATGTACCCCTTAAACTTTTCAGAGGGAGCTCCTGCTAGCTGAGGGTACTCTTCATTCTGAGACATGTGTGTGTTTTTAACTCAAGTTCGTAGAACAGGCTTTTCGGGGTACCCTCGATTTCTTATCGTGAATTTTCTTAACTTTCGAGAAATCCCAAAATGCGCGGCTTCAAATTCACACGCCCAAATTGAGAAATGGAGCCCCTCAACTTCTGAAGTTTCAGACATTGAGCCCTTCCATTTCTTAGTTTGGGCTGTGACTCTCCAACTAAATTGGGAGCCTCTGGACGGTTTACGAGGCTCGCGGAGGCCCCATCCCGCCAGTAGAGAACCCCGGGGACCCTCAAACCAACAATTTGAGGGGCTTACGAATTTGAGAGGCTCAATCCTTTGATTTGCTCCAGAAGGAGAAGCATTTCCCTGATTATGAGCCCCATGAATGTGAACATGAAAGAAGTGGTTCTTGCCGCTTTAACGGCTGGCCGTTAGCCATTACACTCGTTCTAAACCCTAAACCTTGCTGGTGGTCGGTAGGGAATAAGGGAATACAAAAAAAGGATTGCAGAGGGACTATATTCCCTTATCCCCTACTAAACACCAGTGAGAAACTCTATGCCTTAACCCTACACCCTCAAGCTGACCTCCTTTGGGCCATGTTTGCATGGCTGATCGAAGGAATGGTCAGAAAAGGAGGTGTTTGAGCCTCTTCGATGTGCTTGCTGAAGGCCTGAGCCTGCAACATGCAGCCCTAATGTGTTAGTTCATGTTTGGATCATTTTCCTGCGACCTGGAGATATGGGGGAGTTTCTCGAAAATGGTTTCAAGAACAAGCTTCATACCTGTTGTGCATGAGAAGTATTATTCTCTGAGATTACGGAGATGGTTTCCGTAAGCCCTCACCTACCTGGGCCCTGCCACGTGAAAGGGTGAATGCACCTTACCTCTAAGTCCTATATACCTTGCTTGATGAGCGATCCTATCGGGTAAACGGAAGACGGAAGTTCGGGGAGCTACTGGCTTGTATACCAGTGGTCATTCCAACAGTATGGAGCATGGATGGGTTTCTGGCGGAAGTAGGCTTGAGGTTGGATACTGCCCCCACTGTTTAACAGTTGGATAAGAATTACCATATGGTTACGCAAATATCCCTTAATATGACCCTGACTATAAACTGTTAATGGATGGGGGACAGGACCTTAAGTTGAGGTTTCTTGGAGATTTGCCTGTCACCAGGAGGTGTTGGGCGCGAGCCAGCGCAGGCTCCGACAATGTCCTTGGAGCATTGCCTGGACCGTGAGGCAGAGGGATCTGACGTGGATTTCTGGGGTAAGGACGCAGAGGGCTGGCAGTTCGGGTTCATAGGGTTGGTGCAGGGATCGCGGTCTAGGATTTAAGATTTACGGTTAGAATGTCTTTAAAGCCTTGGCGACATAAATGGCTGTTCAGGATAAGGTTGATAAGGGATTCGGGTCCATGCGAGGCTCATTTTCAAAGAGGGAGGGGGAAGGCCGGGGAGGAATAGTCGATGCAGTTCCAAGAAGGGAAGGGAGGTGGATTTATGAGCTGTAGTCTAAAATCCTTAAAGGGGTTATACAGGGGATTATTATGGGGAGTATTACAGGGGTTATTAAGGGGAATACTAGGAGTTTAGACTATAGCTCTTGTGGCTTTAAGCCTTTCGGGTTTGATTTCTTTGGGCTTGCGGGCCTTATGCTGCAGAGTTTAGCCTATTGGCCTGCTCCCAAAGCTAACTGGTACCGTTTGAATGTTTCACCCCAAAGAAAGGGATGCTGCCATGACGATTTGGGGTTTGCAAATGCATGTCCTCAGACATGTCAGAAGACCTTGCTGCGGTGAGTATTCTTACGTATTCAATTTTTTCTGCGCTTTGCGAGCCATTGTTCTACGAGCCAGACCATGTCCGGTTTCTTCGTGCTTTCAGTTGGCTTTGTTTTGTATATAGGGAGTATATAGGGATAATGGACAAGCAAAAGGAGGGGTAATGGTGTCTGCTCTTTGCACTCAGTCGCACGAAGATGGTTCTCCTGAATGAGCAGCATTAGTAGCAGCAGAATCATGGCCATGCTTGCTGTTTCTGTTGCCAAGACGGCTGCGCTAAAGATCTCTGTGCAAATTGTCTTAGTTCCCCCTGTGCAAATTGTCTTAGTTCCCCCTGGACGAGTCCGTATGATTCATTATGACCTTTCCTGACAGCCCACCCGCCTAATAACACATATTCCAAACATTCTATGACAAACAATGATGGGAAAGTTATTGTGGTGGCAGAGGGGGTATCCCCATCAGTTGGGTCTTTCCCCCTTACAGCAACCGTTACCACAATGGATAATAGGAGTTACAGTAGCCGGTAGCCTCTCAATGAAGCCGCGTTGTGAAAAGTTACAGGGAGGAAAAAGGACCCAACACATACCTCTGTTCACGAAGGTAGAGGCGCCTCCGCCGCTGCCGCCACCGTCGAGGCCCCCGCAGCCAACGCCAGCTGCGTCAATGGAAGCTGGGCCAGTGGTATTCTACTAATTTCATAATGGTGTTCCCAGAAATTAGCGGGGCCCCCAAATGAGGATGATAGTACATAGGGATATACAACGGAACCGACCTTGATTCATAGAAACTACCACAGTTCATGGAAGGGACCAGGGAAACTACAGTATGATATGGTAATTGCAATGTTTTAACGGCATTGTTTACCAAATTCTTATTATGAATGCACCCAAAACAGGACCCGTAAGTTTGAGAACCTCGCCATGTTGCTCTCAGCATCATCAGTCACACGATTCTTCGGAATCGTTTGAGCGTGATCATCGGGGCAGTTGTGGTTGTTACCAGGGGCAGTTGTGGTTGTTACCATGCTTCGGGTTGGGGGGAAGGCAAATCTAAATTCATCACATGCAGATAGGTGCCGCTAGAGTGCCAGGATCGTCCGCCCTGGAGGAGGTAGAAGATCCAGTTGATGGGCAAAATCCTTCATACCCAAATCCCGTACCTGGAGCGTGATTTGGTTTTTAGCAGTAGTGATATGGGGGGCAAGATACAATTGGACCTTCCATATTCTTCATAAAGCCCTACAGAATCCGCGCATAATGACAAGCTGTTTACCTTGTAAGATCACC